CTGCTCCCGTAAAGATTTACACCCTCGGAAACCCTGTACAGGGTCGCTATGGGTCGGAACCGACTTGACGGCACTTAACAACAACATATGCAGATAATTACATTATTTTCCTGTATGCTTTGAAAACTATCAACGTTGTTGATATTTCATATCAAGGTTAAATAATGGTTACATTTTCTAATTTTAAAAATTTATTTTTAAGCCTTATGATTCTGCAGATGACTGGTCTGAGCATATTAGCTCTTCTGGGAAAAAATACTACTACAATTGTCGAACAGAAGTTTCACAGTGGGAGAAACCAAAAGAGTGGCTTGAAAGGTATTTGCTCTTAATCTTAATTAAACAATGCTTCCCATTCTTGATTTTATAAGTTAACATCCATGTCATTAAATTTTCTAGTTTTAAGTTCTTTGTAATGACATTCCTCACTCTCCATTTTAATTGCACTGGCTAGTTAACTGTTTGTTTTCCATAATGTCTCTTTACTAAGACTGATAGTCAAGTAAATAAGAAATTTATATTAATTTGTACACAAGCATCTTTTTTTAATAGAAGTCTTTGTAATTTGTATAGGACAATAAGATATTTCTTACTATGTTTGGATTTGTAGCATGTTGGTTGGACTGGTGGTTACTGATGTAAATAATTGATAAAGTTTCACTGTCTGTGAGAAATAATAGTGTACTGTTTACTGCACCCTGTTTCCCCCATCTGTTCAACTATATTTATAGCCATGTTCAATTTCATTGAGCATTTGCCCAGAGATGTTATGTGGAGACTCTTAATATATTTGATACATTTGTGGATTCATTTCTTTTTTATTTTTAGAGAACAGAGACAGAAAGAAGCAAACAGGATGTCAGTCAACAGCTTCCCAAAAGATTACAGAAGAGAGGTGATGCAAGCAACAGCCACCAGTGGGTTTGCCGGTGGAAGTAAGTACTATTTTTCTTCTTTAAAACGGTATGTTTGATTCAGTCTTGTAATTTACTTTACAAATCTGTATGTTTAGCCACTTATATGTGTAAACTGTTAAAATAATAATCATAGGTTGTTATGTGCCATCGAGTTGGTTCCAACTCATAGTGACCCTGATAGGGTTTCTGAGGCTGTACGTCTTTATGGGAGCAGAAAGCATCATCTGTCTCCCGTGGAACAGCTGGTAGTTTCGAGCTGCTGACTTTGCGGCTCACAGCCCGATTCATAACCACTACGCTACCAGAGCTCTAAATAATCATGTAGTGTTTCTTTAATGTTAAATGTTCGGTGAGTTCCCTAGCCTCTCCAACATTTTGTTAACTCAAAAGGAAAAGAGGAGGGTACACAGTGGAGCTCTACACACATATGCATCATTACCTACAATGAATATAATGTGTAATCAATTGGATTAAAAAATTAAAATTTTATGTTTTGCATTGACTTCATTTTAAAGCATGAGCATTATATTCTTTGAATTTTATCCTATTAAACTAAAAACTTGAATTCCTTTGTAAGACTCTCTGAGTTTATTTAATGATTTAACCACAACAAAGATAGTAAAATCAGAATACCTATTGGTGTTTTCTGTTATCAGTGAAAAACTTGTTTACCCTATAATTGGAAACTAATTTCACTATCATCGTGGAATTATGCAACATAATAAATTTCCTCAATTTAAAAAATACCCACCCCACTGGTATTATTCTTAGGTAGTCTTCATTTACTTAAACTGTAAATACATGTAATCTTCTTTTGAAGCTTAATTTTGTCAAAAATTTGGAATCGCTGGCGTAATCACATATTTGTTTTTCAAGTTACTTAATCAGTTTTGAAGGTTTACTAAATATAATTATGTTCTGAATGTCCCACATTGCTCTGAATAAAAATGAAATGCTAAATTAGAGTACTTGATTTCTATAATAAATTTTGTAAAGAATTTTAAGATGGGTTCATGAACTTGTAAAGAGTTAATGTTTTGGATCATTCTGTAACTCCAAAAATATGAGGGCTGAATTTGACACACATTCTAAGAGAAACTGATTCATCTGATATCAAAATGTCTAAAATGAAATATGTAATAGTCTTGCTAGACTGAATGCTTAAAAGATGCTCTTTGGGAAAAACTATTGTTGTAATTGTATAAAATTATTAGGAAAATTTTAAGTATTGTAATTCTAAAACATTGTATTTTGAGACAAAGATCTTGGACTTTAATACATGGTTTTTTGAATATTTTAAGTAACTGACGAGTAATTAAAATGAAACAGAGGCTGTCTTTTTTGGTAAATAATTGACACTTTACGTGTATACCACCTGCCTAAATTGGAGACATAGGAGAGGAGTAACAAATTGAAACTAAAATAGTACCTTTTAAAATAAATAATTGATTTGGAGAATGCAATGTTGTGTTAAGAACTTAAGGGTCTGCTTTACTAGATTCCAGAATCAGATAGCACTGGGTTGAACTAGGTTTCTCCACTTTGTGACTGCCATAAAAGAAAAAAAGAACAGAACTGAGTCTGTTGTACTCTTTCAAAATAAGCAGTCATAACCTCATGATGGGTAGTGAAGGCAACAGAGACAAGACACAAAAATTTGAGAAATGAAAATATTATTTTCATCTTTTAAATAAATGATACTAAGGAAATAGGGTTGTGTGTGTGTGTGTGGTTTAAAAAAAATTATCCACACTCCCACCCACTCCCAATGAAACTTTTTTTTCTTCATGATTCAAGGTGTGTTCATAATAAAAGCAAAATTAGAAGAGTAAAAATTTTAAAGCCATGATCTAGGAATATTTTGGGATATATACACTTCTCATATAGATAAAAATATATGAGAACTATTTGTGTGTATTTTATGTGAAAAACAATATATATTATTCTTTATAACCTGTTCTATTAATCAGTAAAGTTTCAGGGATGTATTTCCATGTTCATTTATCTAATCGACAGCATACAATTTTGTTGTTTGGGTGCGATCTCATTTTAAAACAATTCTGCATCCACTTGGGGGATTTTTAACTTCTCCTGCTACAAATGATACTGTGATTCACATCTTTGCTCATTAATATAGCTGATGATTTTTTCAAATAAACTCCTAGATGTACAGATGGTCAATCAGTGCATTTATGTTTATGTTGAAATGTCACATATTAAATACCTTTGGGGGATTTAGAAGCAGATTGGATATTTTAAAGTTGAGCCTTTTGTTTTATATGTGTGTTTATGTGTTGGTGGAGCTTCATTTGGTGTGGTACTAATAAAATCAGTAAGCTAATTGAGTGTTTTAACTTTTTTAATCCAAAAACGTTGGCAGTTTTTCTGTATGTCAAATATATTGGTATTCATTTAGGGTAAGGCTTAAAGCTTGTAGTTCTAAACTGCCAGTAGAAGAAAAGTAGGGGGTGGTGAGGGATGGCATAGAAAGTGTACTGATAAAAATTTTGATAGTATAAATCTACCCCTTGTTATTAAGTGCCAATTGAATCAGTTCAGACTCATGGCTACTCTGTATAGGGTTTCCAAGGAGCCGTTGGTGAGTCTGAACCACCAGCCTTGCAGTTCAAACTGACCAGGTGGTCAAGTGCTTTTCCTACAGTGTCACACTAACCTGTCCCTAGTAGAGTGATTATAGTTAGAGAAACCTTAGCTTGGGGTTTCTCAACAGTTACATGAAAGATAATTGTTTGTTGTGGAAGGTTGTCCTGTAGATTAACGGATATTTAACATCATCCTTGCCTCAATGCTCTAGATGCCAGTAGTTCATCTTCCCTCTCCCTGGTCATGACAATGCAAAGTGTTTCTGTTGTTGATCTTATTGTTAAGTGCCATTGAGTCGGTTCTGACCCTTAGTGACCTTGTATAGGGTTTTTGAGGAGCGGATGGTGACAGTTCCGACCCATAATGACCTTGTATTGGGTTTCTGAGGAGTGGTTGGTGAGCTTGAATTGCTGACCTTGTACATTAACCCTAAACATTGCTAAATAGCTCTTGGATAGATTCATGCAAATCAGCAATACTTGAGGGCTGTTGTCTCAATTCTGAGCGTTAGCAATAATATCTTTTAATTTTAATCTGAATACATTTAATTGATAATATCCTGTAGCCGTATAGAAAGAAATTTTATTTTTCAAGGAAATCAACAGTTTCTACGTGTCATGTAACAATGATTGGTGTGAATTGGACAGTACTATGTTTATGTAAATTTATAGTTTATGTAAAAAATGCTTTCTCTAGATTTGGTACTCAATCTTCTGTTACATTCCTACATTCATCTTATATTTAAGTCATTATAAATAAAAAGACGACTTTGTGTTTTCATGTGTACTGAAATTTGTTGCCAGTCCCCAGATACTTTGACATAAGCATGTAGTAGTTGGGTACTGAAAACTTCAAAACTAACATGTTGTGTGAGCATCTTATGGGTGCTGTCACGGTCTTTAGAACTGGAGGAACCATGAATTTGATAAAAACAAGACTACATTCATTAGAGAGGGTAATTCTTTGATAGTAACATCATTAGATACCATATGTTTGAATATGAAATTGTTTATATATATAGTTGGTGGTTCTTTCAACTATTTAAGTTAACTAATTGTTCAGTGTGATTGTTGAAACGTTCTCTCACTCTGCATTTTTGCAGAAGCATAGTGCTTGTGATTGAGCTTAGCTCTTTTTGGTAATTATTTGAGTTTTAAATATTTTTGTGACTTAAAGTGGGAAGAGGATGTTTTTCTTACAACTGGTGATTGCAAGTAGATTTGTTTTCTGACAATAGTGTGACTATGGAACTCATGTGTTTGCATTATTGAAAAATAAGAATTGAAAAGGTCTTTATTTTCCAATTTATAAATATGAATTAGCTCATTAAATGCAGTTCATCATAAATTCAACCATTCTCAAATGAGGGACTTTATCCCTAGCATAAACCACTTTGCTGTTGCTGTTTAAGTGTTGTCGAGTTGGTTCAGACTCATATCAACCCTGTATAGAGTTTCTGAGGAACAGCCGGTGGGTTTGAACTGCCAACCTTGCAGTTCAGTACTAATCCTACAGTGCCACACCAGGAGTCCGTAAACTACTTTGTTTTTGTTGTTATGTGCCATTGAGTTGACTCTGACACTCAGTGAGCCTGTGTAAGTTTCCCAAGGAGCAGCTGGTGGGTTTTAACCGCTGACCTAGTGATTTGCCGTCCACTGCTTGTCCTACATGGCTACACCAGGAGCCCACTAATTAGAAATACTAGTATCCAGAAAACTCAGGCTAATAAAACTAGTTAATCCTTTGCATTTTTGAACCACTGTGAGTCTTTCAGTCATTATCCAGAACACATAATCCAAATGTTAAAAGAATGAACTTTTACCTTTTTTTTGAGGTTTAAAAAATACTTTTAATGTTTTTGTTTCAATAAAATGTAATTCCATGTATTGACTTAAAAATACATTGTTTTTTGTTTATATTATGATTCTAAAGAATCTCAGAAAAGTAGTATCCCATTTGCAAGCTCAATGAAATCTGAGTATAAATATTTATAGTTCAGTTAAAACTCTTCTCCCAATATCTGAATATTTATATGTTAATAGTAAAACTGCAGGCACTAACTGGGTTTGCAGTTTTGTAGAAAGATCTAACTACAAGTATGTTGTTACATTAGCTGTTGTTAAGACCAGATTCTAACATAATCTTTTTTCTTCCCCCTTCCGTCATTTCAACATCTTTTTATGACTGTGAACTAAAGTGGAAGACAAGCATTCCAGTGATGACGGTAGTTTGCTCCCACAGAATATTTTGTCTCAAACAAGCAGACACAATGACAGAGACTACAGACTGCCAAGAGCAGAGACTCACAGTAGTTCTACGCCAGTACAGCACCCCATCAAACCAGTGGTTCATCCAACTGCTGCCCCAAGCACTGTTCCTTCTAGTCCATTTACGCTACAGTCTGATCACCAGCCAAAGAAATCATTTGATGCAAATGGAGCATCCACTTTATCAAAACTGCCTACACCCACATCTTCTGTGCCTGCACAGAAAACAGAAAGAAAAGGTATGCCTTTATTGCTAGATACTGCACGTTGAATTAGTTTCTGATTATTTAAGTCGTAAATATAAAAACTTTAATATAGAAAGTTGCTGTATAGACGTAGGCTTAAAATGAGCCATACTTTGCTTTTTGTTTTAATTTGTACTTACTGAGCCTAACTACAGTTTTGTCTTTTGCCACTTTGAAGTCAACTAAGGCCTCAATTTATAACAGTTAACAATGGTTTAAAACTTGTCAAAGTCAGTGACTGTTCCTTAATAATTGTATTCTCTGTTTTCATAATAATTTGTTTTACGGTTTGGTTTAGAAATGGTGTCAGTTTTCTCTGTTGAATAGAGATATAAAAATCTGTCATTTTTAGGTAACACACAAATACTTGTTTCAACTTGTCAATTTGCAAGCTGAGTCACGATAAAAGGTCACTAGACTAAGGAGTGTTAATGTCTGAATAAGAACTAAAGCTTAAAGATTAGAAGCTAGGGAATTGCAACTTTAAGTGTACTTATCCAATTATGTGTTAATAACCATAGCGTTCAAAAAAATTAGAAGAAAAATAATTTAACAGCAGCAACTTGGGAGCTGACACATGATGTAAGTAGATTAGTGAAAAGTATATATGCATAGATTACGCAAAATTCCAAATTATTATAGAGAGTAAGCAGATTCTGAATTACTTTTAAATGTTCTGTGGGTTGAGAAAACTGCTTTGTGTGGACCTCATGTTTCTTTAAGCCTTTATTCTCTTAGTTTGATCCTTATTTTCCAGTGTTTTAATTTGTTTGATAAAGGTTCCAATATTGGCTTGGCTTTGCTTCTGGCTTACTCTCTGTCCTTTTATTCATCTTATTTTAATTTCCCTTGTACTGTAGTTGTTGGGTTATATATATTTGTATTATATTGTTGTTAGTTGCCATCATATAGTACATAATTAAATAAATTAACGATTGTTCCAAATGTCAATTCCTTAAAGATGGCTTGAATCAAGCTATTTGCCCATTATACTGATTCAGTCATGACATTTGTTCCACCTTTAGATTTCACGCTGTATCATCCTGAAACACTGGAAGACATAGTAAATTGTAAATGGAGAGAAAAAAAAAAGTTTTTCAGACTATTGGGTGGCATCAGTGGTCTTCCATTCAGGCAATCTTACATTTCTTTCATAAAGGGCTGACATCTAGTGTTGGAGAGTAGGGCTGTACATATGCTGGTTATAATCTCATACTGGTTATATGTTATGGCGCGAGAAAGACAGTAGGCAAGAAAGATTCCAATCAACTGGAAGCAAGCAACACCAACTCCCATTTCTGACTCTGTAATGGTCATTACCTTTATAAAGCAGCCTTCATTGTTTACTTGCATCTTTGTTGGGAGTACATTCAGTTTTACAGCAGCTCTTAGGATATCCTTTTCTGAGTAATAACTAGTATCTTCCCAATCTGTATATTTGGTGATACTGCAACAATGCAATTTATTTTGGATCTTGTCTATCTACTGCATCACCTCTGTAATCTTTCTGTTGTTTCAGAGCCTTCTCATAATTACTCTTAAAGTTGTTCTTAATTTCATGTCTAAAAATGAATCTAATGATGGCAGCAACCAGTTCAACCAAAAAAATGAGAGTCAGAAACATTGCTTACGTATTTAGCATCCAGGCAGAAGCTTGGCATGTAGCAAAACAGCCAAAGGTACCCAAGAGAATAATGACAATGCCAGTGCCAGTGAGCATAAAGGGCACATTGATGGCCTTCTCATTTAAAAGAGAAAAATAATTCTCCAGGCTCACCTTACCGATAACACCAGTGATCCAGAAGATGAAAGTGTAGATCAGGAGGACGTTCTTGAAACAAGCACTGATGGGTTTTGTCTGCAATCTCCGAGAAGGGGATGCCGTGACTCGCCTAAGACCCTGCACCACTGTGCCACTCAAGTTCATCTTGATACAAAATTAAATTTTAAAAGATAATTCTTAGGAGATTGCTCATTCCAGGTTTTTGAGTTTTGTCACAGAAAATAAATATAAAGTCTTTATCATCCCCTGCCACTTCTTGGTCATTTAACACTTTTTCTGTTTTACCCTTTATGAAGTTCTTATCTGCTTTCTGTAATATTAAGATGAATTGTCTTTGAGCCAACTCATGGTCACCCTATATGTGTTAGTTGAACTGTATTCCACAGAGTTGGGATTTGTTGTTGTTACTGGTTTTATGTTGTGTTTCCAGTGAAAGTTAATATAGCAGTTTAGTATTTCATTCAGTGAAGAGCACATTAACCATTTGCCCTGCCCTTAGACTACTCAGTTATCTTTGAATTTCTTGGTTCATCTCTTCGTGCCTCCTAGATATTAGGATCAGTCTTTTCTTCCTTTTGTTGTTTGTTTCTGACTCAACAACTTTTCCATGGACAGTTGTCATTCTTGGTGGTTGTGATGACGTGCTGTGGAGTCGGTTCTGACTCACAGTGATGCTGAAGAGGGTTTCTGAGGTTATAAAGCTTTACAGGAGCAGAAAGCCTCATCTTTCTCCTGTGGAAAAGTTGGTAGATTTGAATTGCTGACTGAGATTAGCAACCCTACTCATAACCACTACATATTTATGTAAGTGACTCCATGAGGCTAAGCTCAGACCCATATACCTTCATAAGCTTATTTGCTACAGTTCTTCAGCTATAGTATATATCAAATTTTCTTCCCTCTTACATTTTATTTTTATTTTCTGTATAAGTGGTAGTGATGGTTATATGCCGTGGAGTCAGTTCTGACTCATAGCGACCCTGTACAGAATTTCTGAGGCTGGAAAGCTTTATGGGAGCGGAAAGCCTCATCTTTCTCCCGTAAAACAGCTGGTAGTTTCAAGGTTCACATCCCTATTCGTAACCACTATGCTACTAGCAAACTTAACTCTCTTAACAACTTTTTCTTGTTCTTCAACATTCTTGCTCACCAAACATCTTCCTCAGCCCCACCTACCTACCCATCTTCTCTTTCTGATATATCTCATTTGTGTGTAGATCCTTTGTCTTGTTTCTGCTATTGCCATGGTTGAAAATCAGATCATCTGTCTTGAAATAATCTCATTTGTGCTCTTTCTTCTACCCAGGCATCATAATAAATTTATATTGAATTGTGCCACTTGTTTAAAAATTAGTAATATTGTTGTTAGTGCCATCACATTGGCTCTTACTCAGAGAAGTGACTGGTTGGTTTGAACTGCTGACCTTATGATTATCAGTCCTGTGTTTATCTACCAGAGCCATACCAGGCTTCAAAAAACTTGTAATAGTTCCCTATTATCCAAAAATAACATAGATTCTTAATAAGATTAAAGCACATATTTGTACTTGACAGTCTAGTTGCTGTCTTTACTAGCTTAATCTCTAATCATTCCACTCTTGCATTACATTTCTGAGAATATAGGAAGGTGAGTTAAAAACATTGTTACTAAGGTTAAAACTTAAGTTGACATCTCGCTAAACCACTGAAGCTTTGTCCCACATAAACACATTTAAGATGAATCCAGTTAAGGAATGTCGAAAAGACCTCAAGGATGAGCAAGACAGAATAATTGAGATAGGTTATGACGGCTGTTCTTTGGGATTCCAAATGAGAGTGATCTTAGTAATTGTAGTTTATTAGGAAGAAGAACTGAAAACTGTATTGGTTACAAAAAGGTCAGGAAAACTTCACTGTGGAGTGTTTTTTTTTTTGTACTGCTGATTTCTCAAGGGTTGAAGTATAAGATGTAATTTAAGTTTAAATTCTACAAAGTGTTTTTGGTAATCAATAAGTTTTTATGTTATAGTACTAGGAGCTCTGGTAGCATAGTGGTTATAAATCAGGCTGCGAACATCAAGACAGCAGTTCGAAACTATCAGCTGTTCCACAAGAGAAAGATCTGCTCCTGTAAAGATTGACAGCCTTGAAAACCCTGCCCAGGGTCCCTGTGAGTCAGAAGCAACTCCACGGCACATAACAGCTTTTAAATTTGTAGGAAGAACTGCCTTGATATTGCCTATTTTTATAGGGGGAAAAAAAAATACTATCTTTGAGTACTTGGATGTGAATTGGCAAGTTATTTCCTTAAAATATAGTACCAGTTTTTAGCTTTTCAGATTATTAAGTTCATCTAAATTTGTGAATTTTATTTGAATTTTTGCTTGTTTAAAGCATTGAGATATCCATGTTTTTAATATTATCTTTCCGTTGATTCTTATCAACATAGTGATTTTTTTTCTTGTTTGGATTTCCCTTAAATGATTAATGTGACAGGGTTTCAAAAAGTTAGTGGAACAATGTAATTAAACAATACTGGAATTTTCCCATGTACTTTTTTTCTTTAAACTTTTATTGTGAATTTAGTGGTAGGGTTATATGGAAGAACATTGATTTTGCACTCATTATATTGTATTTTGTTTCATTCAGTGATTACAATCCCCTGCACTCATCATCATTTCTCCTTTTTGATGTACACAAAAACACTCAGGAATATATAATCATTTAAATAACCAAGGTGCACAGCCTCCTGGCTGTCAGCACACATCCTTTCTCTTGCCATGAGACCTCTTTGCTTGTTTGAGGATTAGACATGTGGAGAAGATACGATGTAACAGGATTTTGCAAAGAATGATTCTTGTGTTAGGATGAAACAGAGGGATCAGATTCCTCCTTTTAGAGCTATGCTTGTGTGTTATAAAACGTAAACATGTGTTGGTATGAGCTCCTTATTGGACAACCATATAATAAAGAAACTGATATACTACAAAACACCTTTTTTTTTTTTAACCAGTTGGTAGCTAGTGCTTCTTGTCCCTTGGATTTTTGTGAAATGGCAAAATAGACAGGAAAAGTAGGTCCTTAAATTCTTTGTGTTGTTCAAAAGAGTGACAGAAAAGTTTTAATAATCATTGGGTGATTATAGTTAGAATTTTTTAGAATAGATGAGTTTACAAACAAAACAAACTTGATCAGTGAATACAAGTTCTGTCAGGATTGTTGTTGTTAAAGT